AGCCTTCTGAGTAGCTGGAACTACAGGCGTGCGCTACCACACCCAGCTAATTTTTTGATTTATTGTAGAGATGAGGTCTCACCAAGTTGCCCAGGCAGGTCTCGAACCCATGGGCTCAGGCAATCCACTCACCTCAGCTTCCCAAAGCGTGGGATTACAGGCTGAGCCACCGAGCCCGGCTGATAAAAAATTTTCTAATTGTAAATTTCAAAATCATGAAATCAAATTTATCAAAAGAATATCACTTTTTCAATTTTACTTGTCTGACTTAGTGCAGCTAGATGTATTCAATCTGTGTCACTTGATACTTCAATACAAGCTGCCTTTAAGGTTAAAGTAACTTGCTTATCTATCTTTTCAAGTTATGCCTTATGATACAAAGGGTATACCCACAGCTACCTTCCTTAAACAAATGCTCTTTATCACTATCTTCTGTTGCAAAGCGGTGTCAGCATCACTGTAAAAGTACTTCACACATTCTCTTTTTATGTAACGCCAGCTGAAAAAAGAATTTTTTGTATATCTCAGTATATATTCCATTTCTTTATCTACTTTTTTGTGCAATTTGAATGGAAAACTTCAAGGAAACATACATTTTTGAAAAATTTGCACTGGCATAAGGTTGTCCTGTATAATCACCACCAATCTCTGTATGTCCCCTGAGAGGAGACATCCAAGTGGTTTGCTAGATTTACAATGTCCCCTCAGAGAGGACATCCAAGTGCAAAGGGTTAATTCATGGAATTTCTTTCCATTTTTAGGCCAGTGAGTGAAAATTGTAAGGAATGACTGTAATAAATGCTTAATCTAGAATACAGTTTAATTGATTTTCTTTACTCTCTAAGACTGTAATAGAACCAGTAATATAACCCTATAAAAAATGATTACTTCACAGATGAGAAAACTTAGGTTTAGAGTTGTTAAAGAGCTTACCTAAAAGCAACACAGTAAGCTGCCAGGTCTGTCTAACATCAAAGTCGATACCAATTCTAGTGTACCTGCCAACCTAAATTCACTTGCAAATTTTGGGCTTATAAAAAAAGATACATTCATACAAAGCCAAAGTTAAATACCATTAGTAGAGTATGTTAATCTCTCAATAACTCATATGTATTTGTGTATGTGTGAAGCAGTGTACATGTAAGAGGCAATATACCTCTTACTCGTTGAATGTTACAAAAAATATATAACATTCCATAATTTAAGGAAAGGAATCCAATAGAAAGCAACAACAACAACAACAAAGGCAGTATAGCAGTGGTCAAGAACACAGATAACAGAATTAGTCAAATTTGAGTGATCATGGGCAAATTACTTAACCTTTCTGTGCCTCAGTGTCTTCATCAAAAGTAATAAATCTCTACACCTCATGAGAATATGGGTGTTAAACATATGCACATTATCTCACTTAAACAATCAACATTAGCTATTACCATTCCTGTTTCTTTATTTATATTTATATTTTAGTGAAGTTCGTGATTCTGAATTATCACTGACACATTGAGTATTAATAAATAGTATTAATAGATAATAATCTGTTGTGAGCAAGGAATACTATGCTGTGTAAGATACAAAAGCTTACAACACAAATGGGGGTTAGAATACTTTTTAAACTATTACTCATAATCATATATACATACTTTCCTTTATGTTTCACAGAAACGATTATATGGTTTTAAACTATCCCCTATTACCACTTACTCCCACTACTACAGCTTCCTATTAGTCTATAGTCTTTTACTATCTAACTAAATTATCTATTACTGGTAGTGTTGTTAATAGTAGTAGTACACAGCTTGGACATATATGAATGTGAAAAAATTACATGTGGATGTGGCTTAAGAATGAATGTTCATTTACAAATTTTAAATGACTTGTTCTGTGCCCAGTTATCAGAAAACAAATGCTATACAAATCAAAGACATTTTGGACTTTAAGCTTTAATGCAACACCTTTGATATTTGATGCTATTCATTCTAAAGCTATCTTTATCCTACTTTTCAATGAATATATACATGCCAAACTGTAACTATCCAGTACTATTAGCAAGCAACATCTAACTTAACTTTAAAAACTAGAAAATAGGCCAAAGTGAGCGGATTGCCTGAGCCCACAGGTTTGAGAACAGCCTGGGCAACTTGGTGAGACCTCATCTCTACAATAAAATCAAAAAAACTAGCCAGGTGTGGTAGTGCACACCTGTAGTTCCAGCTACTTGGAAGGCTGAAGTAGAAGGATCGCCTGAACCTGGCAGGTCAATGCTGGGGTGGCCGTGAGCATGCCACTGCACTCCAGCCAGGGCAATGGAGTGGGACTCCAACTCAAAAAACAAATAAATTAGAAATTAAACTTCACAAAACTCTCAAAACCCAACTCATTCTCAAAATTAGTAAAAACTTTTCCTGGTTTCTTACATCTTATTATAAAGTTTAAAATCACATAATCAAATCACTTACATTATATGATATTTAAACCAATGAGTGAGGAGACTCTGCAGAATTTTTAGTGAAGAATACCTTAAGTATACACCTGAACAGTCAATATTCATCTTTCATAGCTATTATGCTATATTTAAAATACAATGATGGTTACATTGTTAATGCTTTTATATAGTATAATATTAAATAACATTAATAAACAGAAAAGGATGACATGCTACCTAAAATATCTAACTGAAACAGATGAATGGTGTTTTATAGTATCCTAAAAAGAATTTCTCTTGTGGATCTGTAGTTCACTCAAGTAGCTACAACTGGTATTTACGAAAGCTTATCACAGTATGCAGGAGCTGCAGTTTCCCATCCATTAAAACTGCCTTTAACTTAAATTCCAGCTAAATTAAACAGGATATTATCACTGTGCAATTTTGGTGACTGAATGTATTTTACCATTTCTGAATGTTTCTGTACAAACTGGTACTGACACTAAGTTTTTAAATCCATTCCCACGACCTTCAAGATTATATTAAAATTTTACTATTTATTACTTGTAAACTGCAAGAATTCCAAAATGACTCACATTTAATATATACGTCCATGGAGTGGAGGATAGGAATAAACCTGTGGAATATAAAGTGTATATAGGAGACCCCAAGCCACAACAGTAAGAGGCAAAGTAATGACAAATAATACTGATGCAGGAGCTAGGAGAATTGGCAGTCACGAATCACAGAAACAATTCTCTCCTTCCCCCGAACCTGAATTTGCTTATAACAGACTAAAAGCACAGACACAGATTATTTCACATCTCAAAATACCCAGAAGATCATAAAATTCTTAAGGAATCAGGCCATATCTTTTACATTTGTACATAACATAAAACCTATGTTTTGCACATATTAGCCACTCAATAAAAATACAGTACTTGTACAAAAGAATAAATAGTTCCATTTTACCCCTAGCTATCTGTGCAACTTTGGAAAATCCTTTCATGCTCTGGGCCTATTCTGTTATCTGTTACTGAGAGGCATGGCCTTGTAGCAGTCAAAACAATGCTGGGAGTCAGAAAAGCGAGATGTACAAGCCAGAATACAGTCACCATTCTGGTACATGCACACAGGGAAATACTACTTAGCAATAAAAAGAGATGAAGTACTGACACATGCTACAACAGGGATGAAAGCAAACCCAGGGTTTCTTTTCAGGGTGATGAGCATGTTCTAAAATTGAGATGACAGTTGCACAACTCTGTGATATACAAAGCCCATTGAATTGTACACTACAAATGGGTGAATTATATCTCAAAGCTAATAGGAAAAAAAGGTGGGGCAGGGGGAAAGGAGGAGGAGAAAGAAAAGAATGCTGTCACTGATCAAGCTGTATTTATATCTGTGAGGAAAACATATTCAATGCTCTCCACAGGCCCTTCTGGCTCCCCATTCCCTCTGCCAAGCCCCAAAGCATGCCTGCATTCCCCAGTGCCAAGCCCACTCCATGTGAATAAAGGATGCCCAGAGCAGCCAGTTACCTGATGACCAAGGCAGGGAGGAAAAGAAGACAAAGAGAGTTAGACAGATCAAGTCAATATGCTCCTCTGGAAGAATTCTAAGCTCAAACGTGACAGCAATGGATGCATTGGAGAAAAGGTTGAACAGCATGGACTCAAAGCTTGGCACAGGGGCCTGACAAATCTAGGCCATTCCACACACTTGCCTTCATTTTCTTCTTGCCTATACAGCAGGGATCATAACAGTGCATAACTTCATGAGGGTAGTCTAAGGCTCCAACCAACCAATGCATGTGAAGCACTTATTGAAAGGACAGACCAAGAGCAGAAAGCCATTTTTCATCTCATTTCTAAACCTTAATACAATGATGAGAAAGTAGAAGCGATGTTTTTGGAGAAATGCATGCTTTAGGTAAAATTAACTTTGCCGACTTTGTCTTTTCAGAAACAGACCTTCTGGTGCCAGGAATCAGAGATATTTCATAGCGGCAATCAAGCTTGCCTAGAGTAAAGGGAATTTACAAAGCCTAAGACATTGTGCATTGGGCAAGGATTGTAAAAGTCATGAAACTTGTAACTTACAAAAGTTATAACCACTCAGAGGGAGAGCAGGTGGGGATTTGATCTTCCAGTAAATTGGGCACTATCTACAGGGAAGCCAAGGATCCCCCAAAGCTACCCACTGGGAATGCCTAGGAGATAAGGGGAGGTGCACCCTCCATTAGCTCTAAGGAGTGTCATTTGGGAAGGTGCAGGAGAATTAGAGTCCTTGTCACGCCCTTCTCTAGGGGCTATGATAATGTGGGTGGACATTAGTGGGTCTCTGTGGCACAGGTTCTCCGAGACAACCACAGGTGGTCGATAAGGAAGTCATGGCAGTCACGTCTACCTGATTGTAACATCTCCAAGGAAAAGGATTTAAGCCAGGACTTTGGGAGGCTACGGTGCCATACTCACCTAGAGTGTAAGTCTGCTCCCTGTCTGTGGGGGGTGAACTTTTCTTAAATAAATCTTATCTTCTCTCACCTCTGTGTGTTGCATTTATTTGCATTTACTCAGATCTCTGGGTTGCCAGCACACATCTCCAGCTTGCCGGCTCCGGCGGTGCTGCGCCCCTCTCTGCTGCACCTCCCTGTACCGCTCCGGCGGTGCTGTGTCTCCCTGCGCCTCTCCCCTTCCATTCATCTCATCTTTACCCTATCCGTGCCCTAACACTTATAACTGATTAGTGCACCACAAACACTTTCAAAAAGCTGTAGCTAGCCAGGGAAACATAGTGAGACATCCGTAGTCCTAGCTATTCAGGAGATTGAGACAGAAGGATCGCCTGAGCCCAAGAGGTCAAGGCTGTGGTGACCTATGATCATGCCACTGCACTCCAGCCAGGGGACAGAGTGAGACCCTAACTCAAAAAAACATCGTAGCTGCTACACTATCATCAGTAGTTATCTTAGTTCACTTTATACTACTACAACACAATACCTGAGACTTGGCAATTTACAAAGAACAAAAACTTATTTCTCATATTTCCAGAAGCCAGAAGTCCAAGAGCCAGCCACCAGCATTTGGTGTCCAGTGAGGGCTGTATCCTATGGAGGGGAGGAATGCTGTATAGAAGTAGAAGGAGGTAGTGGGCATGTGGCTCAAGCCTGTAGTCCCAGCACTTTGGGAGGTGGAGGCTAGAGGATTGCCTGAGCACAGGGGTTCAAGACCAACCTGAGCAACATGGCAAGACCTCAACTCTACAATTAAAAAAAGAAATAAAAAAATTAGCTGGGAGTGGTGGCACATGCCTGTGGTTCCAGCTACTTGGAAGGCTGAGGTGGAAGGATTGCCTGAACCCAGTAGGTAGAGGCTGCAGTGGCCATGAGCGTGCTACTGCACTCCAGCCTGGGTGACAGCGTGAGACTGACTCAAAAATAAAAAAGAGAGAAATAGAAGGGGAAGGATAAAAGAGGACTAACTCCTTCATCAAGCCCCTTACACAGGTAGGAGCCCTAAAGGCCAAATAACCTCTTAAAGATCTCACCTTTTTTTTTTTTTTTTAGTTGAAGTCTCACCCTGTCACTCAGGCTGAAATGCAGTGGCATGCTCATAGCCACCACTTCAACCTACTGGACTCAGGCAATCCTTCCACCTCGGCCTTTCAAGTAGCTGGAACTATAGGTGCATGCTACCACGCACGATTAATGTTTTTGTTTATTGTAGAGATGAGGTCTCACCTAGTTGCCCAGGCTGGTCTCAAACCTCTGGGTTTAGGTATTCCTCCAGCCTTGGCCTCCCAAAGAGCTGGGATTACAGGCCTGAGCCACCAAGCCCAGCCAAGGCCTCACCTCTTAACAGTATCACACTGGCAAGACCTGAATTTTGGAAAGGATACATTTAGACGACATTGGGGTACATTCAGGGTGGTATGACCATGGATAGGAAGGGACACATTCAAACCATAGCAGCAGTATTATTATTCTCCCTTTATAATTTTTACAACACCATTTAGGAACACTTGACAAATATATTCAAATAAAAGACAGAAGAGTAGCAGAAGTAGATAGAAAACAGCAAGTCATTTTCAAATGACAATCTGATACTTTGCAAGATTAATGTATACTTTTATAGATACAAGTATATAGATATAGATATATATGCTTCCTTTTTTGTAAAAAATGAATGACTAACACCTATAAATTCCCTAGGCACATGAAACCTAAACAAAATGAAGGTTCATGAGTAATCTGCAAAAAAAAAAAAAAGAAAGATAAATGTAACAAAAAAATCCTAATTTTAAAGCTTTTCTAAGTCAAAATGTAATTTTAAATATTCACGAAGAGGAAAAATGGCAAAGATCCACTGAAAGCAGGTCTTTGACAAGGTTATAAAACAGTCGAGCTTAGTAAAGAAACCTTAGGCTGGATATTCTTCAGATTGGGGGGGGGGGGGGAAATGAAGCTACAAAGCATCATGGAATTGCCAGGGAAATCTATCCCAAAATATAGAATGGGACTATTACAGAAGCCCAAGAGAAAATACTGCAACCTGGTTTTTTCATTTGTTTTACATGGTCATATTCTTTGCTGCAGGAAGGAATATGAAGCTGAAAACAAAGGGAAGAGGAAGTCTAACTTTTCCAGTGAAAAGCCACCAAGAAGGACTTAATAGAGTTGTATTTTGGGCCTTGGCTGCAATATTAATAAAGAGCCCTTTAAAAACTCCCATGCCAAGTATTTAACTCATCTGGGGTAGAACAGGAGGAGCACTTTAAAAAAAAATGTCTCCAAGTGAATCTAAAGAACATCTGGGGCTGAGAACCACTGAGCTAGCAGGAAAGAGTATAGACCAGATAAAACAAAAGTCTGGTTGGTGATACAAGGAAGATAAACATCTGGTGGGTAAAGACTTTATCATTAACGCTTTGAATCATGTTGTGTGCTGCCTTCTCATCACAAAACCACAATCTCTTCCAGCTATGTCATCACCCACAATGTTAAACCGTTTCAGCAAAGCACATCTAAAGCCAACAGAGAGGTTCTGGCTGCATCAAGCGCCTTTGATGAGATGCTCAAAGACAGGATTCACTAGTTAGCACAAGACCTAATGTAAGCAATTCTTCCTCAGAAGGAGAATTTAGGTTTACTGAAGCAGAAAACTAAGAGCCTTTAATACAAAGCTGTAATTAATGGGTATTATAAATCATAGCAGTACATCTCTGATTTCAGGTTTGTGGGATGCACCGCATGCAGCACACAGTAATTCAACAAAAAGTGGCCTCCCGCATATAATTGCCTTTCCTGGAGAAAACCAATTTGATCCCAAAGAGGTTGGAAAGGAATGCAGATAATTACACATACTTACAATACAATTGCTTCCTGCTCTCCAAAGTGAACTTTTAAAAGTATGCTTTTATTCTAAGCAAAATAATTTTTCTTCAGCTGTCTCTCCTTATAGTCAATCTAATAGGCCAGTAAGGCCAAACTTTTACAATCTCTTAGTATGCATTTAATTAGTTATTCTAAGATGTGAACATTCCAGGATTTCATACAGATTAAATTCCTCTATTCCCCAAATAGAATGATATATTAGGTAAAATTGCCGCAACACAAAAATACACATCAACGAGGATTGGAAAGATACCATTCTTAGGATGTGACAAGCATCGAGAATACACTGCTAGGAACCCAGCAAATGAAAGTGATTGGAGTAGAATGACCTCTACTCCACACCAGACCTTCACTTAGGAAGGACCACCTCCAGGCAGAACTTCACTTAGCAAGAAAGGGCCTCTTTAGGAGATCCTGTCTGTCCTCCTTGGCAAAGTTCATACCTATAGCTCTAGGAATATCCTTGGGGTCTCTCCCTCCATCCCCACTGAAGTCATTTAAGTGGCAGCTGACTCCACAATAACTACAGGTTAAAGGAGGCCCTTTTTTCACTTATGAAATAGTAGTTCTATTTCTCCAGAAAGTTCTCCAGAAAGACAGCAAATCTCTAAACAAGCGCTCCACAATAAATACTACCAAAAGCTGCTTTATAATACCTTGTGTCTTTCTAAAGTTTTAGTTTAATTTTTCCTTTTCCATATATCTTGAGTAAGATATGCAAATTTCAACTTTTCATGTATCTAATAAACCATTATGATTACACAAGGAAATTATCTTACCAAAGTATATCCTTAATTTTTTTCAAAGGAAAACAAGGTATTTTGATGATTTCAACTAGTTCAATCTAACCTATGACTCTTTACAAAAGTAAAAAGATGAGAATCATTCATGCTTCTGGAACTGTAAAGTATTAAACAACCACTGATCTGCCCTGTGCTGCTGTGATTTCACCTTCAACATAAACAGACCAAGTAGCCATCAGCAGTGACTACCTCCTATGTTAGCAGAACACTGGGTTCAGGGTCATCCCTTTCTTCCCTCCTCATGATCCTCCTAACCTTATTTTTCTACCTTGCCTTACTCTGTGCCTCTTACTCTCCTTAACTGCTCTTTTATTACTAATTTTTCTGCCTTACTTTGAACCCATTCTACCTCCATTCTTTTTTCATCACTTATTTTTCTCTAGATTCTCTCTCTCTCCTCTTTCTTTTCTCCACACTGCCTTCTCCACCAACCACTCCTTTTTTTTCTTCTTGCCCTATGAACTGCCTTCCCTGGGTTCTCCTGCTCTAACCTCTGCCTTAGCCATCTCTCTCCACTGCTTGCTCAGTGCCTGTCCTAGTCTCCTTTTCACAAGCCCACACCACAGCTCACTGTATGTGTACCTTTCCCAAACCAGGTGCTCCCTGGAGAAAGCCAAGATCTAAAATTCCAAGGGACTAGAAAAACTAGACTCTAGATAGAGAAGAGTAAATGTCTCAAACCTAATACTAGAAATCTGTGTCTCTTCTCTAGATGGAGAAGAGTAAATGTCTCAAACCTAATACAAGAAATCTGGGGCCAAGTCTTTTTCAAAAATTGAGCAGAGATAAATGAGATTCTGATGTCACAGGATTAACTAGGTGGCTTTATTCAACTTTGTCATTGTGCCTTAGACTCTACTACTGGCACTCACTCTAGCTTTCTCTTATTTCACCTTTGAAGTTTATATAAGAAGGTAGTTAGCAGGGAGGAACAACTGAAGTGCCAAACACTGAGATGAAAATCTAGACTCCAGGCATTATCTGAACCATAAAAATGAAAGCACAAGAAAACAGACTGTAACTAAAATTGGCTGTAACTGAAATCTAGTAAGCCTTTAAAAAACAATGTATTTTAATCCTACCAAATTAGAATATATGCTAACAAAAGACATACGAGTATATGCTAACATACAAATATACTTTTTTTGGAATAAAATCTCAATGGCATTTAAAGATTAAGGCAGAATTCTGGGATTTCAGGTTTCCCAAAGTCATTCTGAAATATGACAGTTCTTATTTACTCTCTACACATTCTAACCAAAGCAGCGATGCTCTAGTCTTAAGCTTTACTAAACTTACCTAAAGGTTACTCTTTGCCAAAAAAAATCAGAAAAAGAAAAATTTGCCCCTCATTTTACTTAAAGCAACTAGAATACAAACCCCAGTCAACTAATTTGTGATGAAATTTCAATGAAGAGCCACTGCAGAATAATACATCCCTGCAGAGAAGAGAAGGTCAGGAGCAGGAGGACAAGAGGCTGCAAGAACAGGGCTGCCCAGAATGAGG